AAAAACACAAAGAGAGACAAATTTGCCATTAAAAAAAATACAAAAAAGCCACAAAATGACTGAAAATGATGACAAACAGATGCAAAACGACCACAAAGAGAGACAAAGTGGCCACAAAGAAACTCACTAAAGCCTAAACCGGGTCTACTGAATACAGTTTCTACTTTTGCACTCTGTTTTTAACTCCACTTCACACTCTTTGCAGAAGAGTTTTCTGTGTTAGGTGCAACATTCAACATTTAAAATGTGTTGTCACAATGACAAACCTAATTGCTCTTTGGCCACGCCCACTTCTCACAGGCAGTAATCGGTAAAACCAAGAAGTGGGAGGAAGAGGAGGACGAGGAAGGACAGATGACATCAATGCAACATCAGCTGACTGTGTGTTTAACCTGGACTGAGCAAGAAGGCAGAGAGAACCAGTGAGTTACCTCCCATCTACACAGTAAAATAAAAAATCTGCTATAAGTCTGGCTGCAAGGGTGCCAAAAAAAACATCTATTTTTTTATTACATTTTGTCCCAGTTCAGCCCAGATGTTGTGGACTAATAACAAGGCGGCCTCACACCAAATAAAATTATATCAAGAGTCTAATACGCTGTTTGGTTTTTCACCGGCTGTTGATTCTAATGACCTTCACAAGACTACAGAGGCTTCTTCTCCTCAGAGGACGAGTCAGTAACAAACAAGTGAGACTCATCAGAGGAAGCGTCTAATTAGACCCAAACGAGCAGACAACTGCTCGAGATACGACAACGAGGTGTTCGAGGTGTCACAGTCAGATGAGCTCAGTTGGGGTGCAAATGCTTAACAATTTTGGTACCATTAATGGAGTACAATAAACGCACTTATTCTTACTGCTACATGATTCAAATTCTTGTAAATGGTGTGACAGGAGCCAGCTGGTGTTGGAGAGGCAGTCTAGCTCCAGTACTGGCACAGGATCCGTCACTTCAATGCTTCCCCTTCATTATACACATGACCCGCCCTGCAGTGCATTCTGTTGTGTTTCCAGCTCCTCATTTGCATAATGTTGAGTTTTACACTGTGTTGTGCAAGTTTTCAATCTAAAAAAACTGCAACCTGAGCAACAAATGGAGTCGTTTATTAATAAATGACTATATCGTTGAATGAAGGAGGGATAGAAGATGTCATTTTTGCAGCATCGTTCAGTCAATAACTCCAGCAGGAACTTATGTCGGATGTTTTCGATCTCATTGATTCGTCTAATTTGTTTTATTATCAAGCAGTTTGTTGCTTTGTTTTCGAAATGCACTGTACACGTGATCTGCTCACAAATTACCCAACATCCATGTTTCACACGACATTAGCAGAGTTTATGTTTTACAAGAATTCACTAACACTACCTGTGGATATATTAATTTGCCGGCCACATAGTAACTGCTGACAGACAGCATGATGCAAAAATTGTTGTTCAGAGTTGCCACTGCAGCCTCCGTTATTCTTGTTTGGTAAAAAGGCAGAAAAATGCAGAGGAGGAAACGAAAACTTGCAAAAAAAAAGCTAAATCCCAGATGAGAGGCCTGTTCGTATGAGACTAAAGTTATCACAGGATGTGTTCTCTGGTGGAAATTTAACTTTGCATATTAAAGACGTCACAGCTTTGTTCAGAATTTGGATCAAAGGTGACTTTTGCAATTATTACAAATTACTGCAAGTCAAGTGATACTAGTCTTGTGCAAACGGGGCTCAATGTACAAATACAAAAACTGAAACTAAATCCGCTGTCACATTTGTTTTCATTGTGTTGCAATGTCTAAACTCTCACTGCAGCTTCAGAGAAAATCACTAACTCCTCACTGTCCGTGTGCTTATAGACGGTCGGAACCAAACTGTCGAGTGACTCAGCCGTGTGTTTGCTCTGCTCAGCTGGTAAATCATTCTTTTACTCTGCAGCTGAGGTCACACGAAGGTTTGTGCAGGTTGAGTAAATGAAGGGGTTTGAATGCTCGGCGTGTTTCCGACCAATCGGTGACCTCGAACGTTGGCGCCTCAGTCAGTGAACCCAAACCTCAGTGAGGAGCTGAGGGATGTAAAGCTGTTACTGTACAACAGCCTCATTTTAACGTCGGCGTGCAGCAGTTGAAGCTGTAAATGTGTGTTGTGGGTGAAGCCTGCAGGGTTTGGAGGGTGGAGGGTGGAGGGACTCTCTGGCTGGGAGGTGGGTGTTGTTTTGGAGGGACGGAGGTGCCATGAAGTGCCAGAGCTCCGGTCAACCTGCCAGCTCTGCTGAGTCTATCAGTCAGTGTTGCAACAAACAGACGGCTAAATGTAGCTCTGGAAAATAACATGTGGTCACGGTTTGGAGATATTTGTGCTCTACGGCGGCACTGATTATTATTTTGAGATCACCTGTAAACCCAATGTTCTGAAACCTTTCAGCTCATTGCTTTGGGTTTTTTTTTTGCCCACAATGGAGTCAAGTTTAGATCCCACTGACGACTTTCCAGTATGTAGGATTTAGAGCGATCTATTGATAGAATATAGTAATCAGTAATGATTTCTATCTCAAATGATCAGGGCCTTTCTGCTCAACCATCTCTGATTTGCTTGAAACTTTTTAATCGTAAACTGTGGATAGTAAAAATGTTATCTGGGAAATTTTAGATTGACATATCAAGAATAAAAAATTGCCCGTCAACACTCTTTCTAATGAAACCATAATGGAGTCATTCCCTCACAAATCATCCCATTTTTACAACAATTTCTGCTCCACCATCTTTGTTTTGTTNAGTGACGAGTTTCTATTGTCTTTAGAGAAACTATCTAAACCCAGAGAGCATCTTCAGTTATTGAACTCTCTGCAGCGCTTCCTCTCCCACAGACGGATGTTGAAGACGGTCTTTGCCATGTGCAGCAGATAACTGAAACTGTGATCAATTATTTCTGTCTCCTCTGGTGACCTTGATGAGTTCAGCCGTCTGATGTCGGTGAGGCAGAATCGATGCGTGTGTTTGCACCAGTTGATGAACATGATTGAATTTGAGCGCCTGCTGTTATTCTTCTCACGTAGCAACAACACAGCCGTCGGGTCACCGGATAACTTCCTGCTGCGCCTTTTATTCAAACGGATGAGTGTTATTTGTACTGGAGTGGTACATGTAGTCATCCACGCAGTGCGTCCTCGATCACGTCCGACCGAGTAGAAAACACGCGAGTCATAACTTCGCCGCTGAATTTTTATTTGTTGCACATTAAAAACAAACTGTGGGCGTAATCTGGGTAATCAAAGTACTTCCATACGTTACACCGAAGACAGCTGAAGTCCCTCCTTGGTTAGACAGTAGAGTTCCTCTGTAAGGCTTTCTTTAATGTGTTCTCTGATATTATTTAACTAAAGTCTGCATCTGCTGCTGGACTGTGAAGTCATTTTGAGCAGTTTTTCAGACCATTTGTTGCTTTTTTTCCTTGTTTCTATCATCACATGCTGCATACATTTTGATTCTGGACCAACAAAATAAGCAATTGTGACCTTTAAGGTTTCTAATTTTTTATTTTTTTTGCACTAAAAAGTACAGAAATGCCAGCAAAAGCAAGCAAACGTGACGTCTCTGTTAACAGGGATGTATTAAGTCAATGCCATACTTGTAAATATGTGCTGATTGTTGTTTTTCTTTGGTGTCGAAGGCAGCGAAGGTAAACGCAGTTGATTCTGAATATATCAACAACACGTGCAGCTGCAGCAACACTGCAGTCTGGGGTGAAAAACACACACCATGAGTTGTGTATGGAGATATTTAGCGTATTTAGATGACTAGAGGCCAGTAAGCAGCTCGAAAACATAACATTTGTACACAGAATTCAAGGTGATGGAGTTTCAGCTGGTACTTTATATTAACGAGTCCTGTTCCAGCTGCACACGTAGCAGCAATGCTCCAAACAGGCATGTTAGCGTTTGACTTGTTTTTGATAAAATCAATTCTTTTGACATGATCTGAAAATGGTGGAATTTTAATAGTATTAATCCAGCCAGCTGTTAGAACCGATTAAATATTAAAATTTAGCAAATACGGTGCCCGATGACAGCAGCATGAAACTCCTCTTCAGTAAAATATTTAATCAGTGGTATTACTTGCTGTTCATGTTGTAGTAGTTTGTGTGCGAGGTTGTGTTGCTGATTTAACGTTGGGTTGTGTTACTGTCACCCTGTGTGAGTGAAAACTTTGGAAAAGCTTTTCTGTGGTCACGAGAACTTTGTAAGCCTCGGAGGTTTATGTTCATGTGTTGTAAATTTAGTCCAGTAGAGTTTTTTCCCGTTTACGTTACCTGCTCGTTAGCATGCTAATGGTTAGCCTCGACTGCCTTTAGACAGGTAGCAGCAGCGCTAGTGCGGCTTTAACATCAAGCATTTGGTGCACGCGACTTCTAGTGTTGAAAGCCTGAGCTACGTGAAGGCACTGCACGACATTCTGGATTACATGTAGCTGGTACTTTTATTATTATCTTATTTTTTTTGTTAGTGTGAGTGGAAAAGCAGCAGCACATGAAGTCTGGCAGTTTCCAACTTAAGTCCTCGTCTCTCCCACATGAAGTCAACAGAATCATGAGTAGTTCCTTTTCCAGGGTGACAACATACTCTTATCCTTGTTAACATCTCAAAGCACTCATATGTCACTGTTGTTCAAAGCAACAGATATCTGTTAATCCAAAACAGCAGACAGAAAACTGGCGTATCATATTCAGAAATATCAATGAAACGAACCTTCCATGAGGAACTACATCCAGCATTGTTGAGAGGAACCGACTCACCACGGGCAGGACTTCAGCTCTCTGTTCTCATGATTGTTTGAAATTATTTTAAATAATTAAGCAGCACGCCGTGGTGCTTTAAATAGTATTAAATACACACATTCATACAATACTTCCATGCAGTGAAGAACCAAAGACACATTACCAGCAAACTGTATTTACATTAATTCAACACCAGAAGCTCAATTTTATGTGTGAACTTTGTGGTTATTAACAATATTCACAATCCAGGCACAAAAATGTACATCATGTGATTAAACTTGACAGTGCAGAGTATTTTTAATGCAATCTTTCTGATAGTGTTTCTGCTTTTAGGGTACGTTGTCTTCAAACTGAGCAATGTTCCGCTGATGTAAATATGGTGTTGAGCCAACATTCAGACCGTTCTCTTCCACTGCTTGTGCGCCGTCAGCACCTCTTCATCGGTGTGATCGGGTCCAGCAGAGCTCAGTTCGCTGTCAGCGAACGGCGACTAATGCAAAAAGTCTTTGTTCTGCAGCAAAGCTTCATCCTTTGACTTCCAAATGAAGCTCTTCACTGTCTGACACCCGGTGGCACGTGGACAATCTGTCAATGGGAGGTTTATCTGTTTTCCAGCAGGGGGGTGACCGAGCGTTCACCTCCATGTGTCGGGGTTCCTCTTAAAGCCAGCTCAGGGAACCGCAGTTCAACAGCAAACATACAGTCAGCAGGTGCAAATGACGAGTTATGAAGTTGTTTTGACCAGGAGAGCGACGGGCTGTTCACCACTGGGGCGTCCTGTGCAGACCGTGTCCCTGCAGAAGAAGAAGAGAGATGGTAGACAGCAGTGTTATGTCGTTTTAAAGGACGACTCCGCTGAATTACTCCCTGAAAGTCTGAAACGTGAAAACTTTGCAGCTTTCTCTGCAGTGAAGGATGAATTCACAATTTCAAATCGCACTAGTAATTTAAATTTACTCCTTTTTTGCCTTCTGTAAATCCCCCTTTCCCTATTTTACTAAAAGCTATTTATTGTTTCTTATGTGTGGGGATATTAGTGATTAAGGAAATGAGGCAAACAAGCATCAACAGGAGACCTTAAAGCAGTGTATTCACCTCTCCAGCATCCATGCAGATGCTTGTTAGTTCGCTTACCACTAAAATATGGCTTCACACTTGTGTTTGTTCGAAGTTTACCTACTTTACTTCCTCATATTTGCAAATATTAAACAAAGATAAACGCAGTGCAGCGCTTATCTAACATCGTATCTACCACAAATCTTTGTGATTTGGTATCTAGATCAGCCGTTGCTTTACAAAACGAGAAATGTGATATATGCACACAAAAGGAAACAAAAGTAAAGACAAATAAATGCAAAGTGTTCGCAAAGAGACACAAAAATAAAATGTCTCTTTAGAACAACATTCTTTTGCAGTTTATATTAACACATTAGTTTATCTCAGACTGTGTTTTATCTAAATTAATGTGATGGTTTGTAACATGCGGACATTGTTAGAATATAGATGGAAAGCAGAGTAGTATTTATGCTGCATTAGAAATTTAAAGTTTGTTTTTCTGAGTCTACAGTTTTCTTCCTTCACAACTGAGAGAGCTGCAAACTTTTCGGTCACATTGGTAAAGCATCAAAAACGTTTCTCCTTCAAGGATGTTGCACGAAGAAAATCGACAAAAATCAAACACCCTTCACCAACATTATTTTTTGTATCGCAGCAGGAGAAGTCCAACTAGCTTATTGCACAAAGGAGGTATAAGACAAGGCCTTGAGAGAGAGTTGAACAGCACAAGGTGGGAAAAAAAAAAAAAACCCAGACAAAGAGGTGATTCATAGTCAACCTGTAGAAGAAGTTGCTATGGATACAGCAGGAGCTGAGAGGTCGACATGCTCAGAGCTAAACAGAGAAGCATCCGGAGGCAAGCGGGTGACAAGAAGAGCTGAGGGTGAAGAAGAGGCGTTCTGGACCTACGCTGGACTCGGTGTGTGTCGACGGGGTGCTGCTCCCGCTGTGGGCCGCGGAGCCGGTGGAAGCTCTGGGGATTGTCATGTCATGGGACGGCTCTGCTGGCTGCTGCGTGGAGTCACAATAACAGGGGCAGCGACAGAAACATCCGAGAAGTCAGGGAGGGAGTGGATCTGTGAGTGTCTGCCGAGCCACTCTCACATGGAACCACTGAACATGACTTACGAAGACATACAGTGTCGTACCGATATCTGTAGTTAGCTGCAAAATCTCCCATTATTCCACCTGAACCAAGAGGCCCACTTTTATGTGAAATCAAAACACTTACCAATAACTGTGAGCAGAAAGACAAAACCCTCTGCTCCGTAGAGAATAGGTAATACACATAGACTGTATAAAAGATGGACGTAGCTACCGTGACGTCACCCGTTGGTTTCTGCACTGAGAANTGAAGTTTGAGGCTGTTTAAGCAACATCTCAGGAACTAATAAAGACGAATGTCTGACATTTTTAGTTAATTCTCATGTTCAGTGCGACAAAGTGACCAAAAAGTTCTTTTACTCCACTAAAACATCTGTGGTTTCTGAACCTTTTTGGTTTATGGTTCCTCAATGAAATGTAATTTTTCCGCTGCAGTTCAACCACAGAGTGACTCATCTTTCTCAGATTGTTTTATATCAAACATTTTAGAGAACAAGAAAAGGGAAATGTCGCCCTCCTCTCATTTCGCATCATTATTCCAATTACAATTATTTAGCAGAAATGTTTATTTAGAACGATACCAGATTCTTACTGCAGTATCACACGATGACGTATAAAACTTCACCTGCTGAGAACAAACACAAGATGCTGTTAAAAGCTCCCTAAAAGGTTTAAAGAAAAGCTCCATTCAAATGCCTCAAAAATAATCCACTTGTACACTGTACATTTTTCACATTTAAAGTACATCTACTTCAGCAAATTTTGCATGCCGACTTGTTTTTGTGGTGACTCCTGCGGGTTTTGTTTATGTAAAACACGTGAATACCCCTTCCAGCTCTGCTAAACTGTATGTGCATTGAAGTAAACACTGTGGTGGTTGTTTGAACTGGTTATCTAACTTCATAATGCACCCTGTGGAAAGTGTGTCTCACTTAATGACGCTACACAGTGTAAACAACCCTTTGTGTCGTCTGTGTCAACCGAAGTGGAACTCGTGGACGTTGGCAGCCTGACGTGGTCGCTTGTCATTTTGCTGCAGTTTATTTCTGAGCTCGATCACGCGCCGTGTTTGTGTTTGCGCTGGATTGGACAAATCGCTCGGCGTCTCAAATACCTGCGTTTATCAGCAGGATGCAGGCGGCGTCTGACCAGTTAGCTCGCAGTCAGACGTCTGCTGTTCAGGTGCCTTCAGTGTTCAAACAAGACCCAGCGGTTGATAGAGGCACAAAGGGATCAGGCTGGTTTCATGAAATCGTCCGACACGATCACGCATTTGAAATCACACGTTCATACTTTTCTCTGCATCCTTCTGCTGATTTACTGGAAACCTTTCTTTTCGTCATATGAATATTTAAAATGGCTTTAGATTAATATCAACTACTTACTTAAATTTCCCGTCAACCCACTTTCCGCAGGTTTTTTTCACAGGTTGAAATTTGAGGCCGTTTGAACAACAATATCTCAGGAATCATGAAAGATAAAAGCCTGAAATTTAATCTGTTCTTTTCTCACCGTGTCATTTATTCAGAATCTGCAATGCTGGACAAGTGGATCAAATATTATCTCGTTATGGCTGTAGCTGGATAGCCACCGCGGCTTTCCGATAACAGTTAAACTTAGCTTTAGACACAGTTTAAAGAATCGCAATACAAAAAGTTAGATAAGATGAGATAAATCTTTATTGTCCTTGTTTTGTACAACAGCACAACAAAATTAGCTTCTCATCCACATTGGTGCTAGAAAAGGACGTGCAGCTGTCAAAGGTGAGCATATACAGTTCACCAAACATATCAGCTATGTCAAATAAACAGTTGTCAAAATAAACATTATGTACAGTTGTGAATATTATCAAAAAAACAATAACAATAAAGATTATTTACATCATATATAAACAATAAATGCATGAAAACTATCAAAAATAAATAATGTGCAGAGTAAAGTGTGAAATGAGCTGTGAGGTGCAGAGAAGAGTTCTTGTAAGTTAATGAAAGTGGCACAATTTGACAACATTACATTCTGTTTTTTTTTACAACAACTTAAAAGTTTGCTTAAATTTGCTTTGCAGTCATACAGAAACACAGCCAGTGTGTCCTTGGATTAATCGTCTGGTAATGTGAGCAGTTTTCACCTTTTGTTTTTAACGCTACTGACGACAATATTCTATTTATTCTTTATCTTTTGCTCTAATCCCATGATTCCATATTTTCCTCTTAGTGTGCTGCTCTGCCTTTGTTGGTGCTTTTGCTATTTTATCGGTCTGCGTTTGTAGTATGGATTTAATTATACGCAAATTCAGTGTTTTATTCTGTTCGGCCTGACTGGCTTTCTGTTGTATTGCTGTTTCCCTTTAAGCACTTTGTGTTCAAAAGGTGTAATATAAATACAGTTATTGCTGTTATTACTATTACACGGGCGCTGACAGGTTCACCGCTCCACCGTCCAGTGAGGCTGCTCGTAACCACTAAGAACACATTTGATCTTCAGCGTGGTTGGACATGACGTCTCAGGAAGTCGTTCTGAGGGAGTTTACGTCTGTGTACAGCTCATAGTATCCCGGAGAGCTCCAGCGACAAGCAACCGGACTTCTGTTTGGTTCTTGACGATGTTTGACCTCTAGATCCAAGTTGTGTCTGTATTTATTATCGGCCCCAACTCACATGACTCAAGGCTTGGCAGCGGAATTAAATGAATGAAGGTGTGAAAGGTGGTAGTTCTGAGAGACTATAACCCGAAACCTTGATCTGGATTAATGCTGCTTGGACTGCAGGTGTTGCTTTGTGTAGGAAACGGTGATGTCGGACAGCACTTGTCTGGGTCTCCTACTATCTGTAGCTGTAAAAAAACCCCCCAAAAAACAGCAATCTGACATTCAGTGATTCTATTTCTGTTTCTAGCTCTCTGTTCCAGTTTGTTCCTCAGCTATGTGTGGAACTTTTCAAGCGTACAACTGAACGTAACATGACTGTTGACTGAACTCCGGTTGCACAGATTTTGAAACTCCCTTTCTACAGTTTTCTGACATTGACTAGCTGCTGTCTGTGTCTTTCTTTTCTCACCTGTTTGCGTTAACCACTAACAGCATCGATGTCTCCTTGGAGACGCTGTCTGAAAATGTGTTTTTAAACTATTCTGTGTCTTCCCTTGCTCTACCATGGGCAGCTTTTCGTGCCATAACTTGTCCTGTAGGCTTAGCAGGTACATAAAAGTATATTTTATAGATTCTATTTCATATGTGATGGAGCGTTTTGAGCATATTCTCTTAACATCAACCCCCTTTTTTTGGGTAATTTAACACCCAAGCAGAAAAGCTTTTAGCAGAAGTACCACATGCATGGAGGCATTATTCGAAAGGTCACATATTCTAGTTTCTGATCATGTGCTTGTAGCTAAAACACAACAAAACAAACAGTTTAAAAAAGGCTCAAAAAGCCTAACCCTAAATAAAACATCATGTCACTCCCAGTTCTAGATGAAAAACTCTAGTCACTGTCTTATGTAAAAATTACAGAAAAACATGCTCTTCTCAGACAGTCAACTTGGATTTAAACTCCAGCAGACAGGTGCCACTTTGGGATTTAGTGATATTTTCCACATAAACCTTTGAGAGTAAGTACTTTTCCCAGTTTTTACGAGCATGTCAGTTGGATCTTATGCTATTCTCCTGAGCCCGTCGGCCTTTTCTGCCTGCCAGCAGGAAAACTAAAATATTTGCAGAGAGGAGAAACCAATGTTTAACCAAAGTTTAAATGTAGAGCAAACAAAAAAACAACAGAGCCGACTGTCATGAGGCAAAATGCCACATTTAAATACTGGTTTTGCTCTGGAGGCAAACAAAAGATGTCCACGAGATCAGGAAAACGCCTGCAGCTGCTCAGGAGGTAAAAACAAATGTTATCAAGATGTATGGGGTGCTAAAAGTCACAAATGGAGAGAAAATCTAGGTCCATTTGTTGCAAAAACTTTGTATTGAGCAAGAAACTAGTTAAAAATATGGAGTGCTGGAAAAACCGGGCTGATAATGAATAGAGACTTCTGGTAATGAATTGATTTGGAGCTTAAAGTGAAAGTAGGTGCATCCAAAATACTCATAATAATCCATCATTTTACAGGTAGACATACAGTATGTTCATGATTATAATAAGTCAGATAAACTTTATTGGGCAGTCGAGGTAATAATGTCACACCTGACCTTGTTTTTTCTTTAAAATAAAAATGTCTGAGCTGTTTAGCTAAGTAGAAATAACAGAAAAACTACAGAAATCACATTAAATGTCCCGTTAAAGCTGGTCCAGTTCTCAGTGAAACATCATAATTATGTCGCTGGTTCATTTCAACATTTTCAGTCGAAGACAAGGTCACACTCATTATGTCGTCCATCATTTTCATGCTGTCTGTGGCCTCGTTGGACAACAAAGACCACTTGGCTTCAAGAGCACATCCTTGTATAACAGGAATGTAAACAAAGAGCTGCATGTCCTCCCCTCACCCTGCAGACCTTACATAATATGCTGCCACCTTCTGCGTAATAAATTGAGGTCAGAGCTTTTGTGATTCGACATTATCGCAGAAGTGGTAAGGTCCTCCGACTGGACGTAAAAGGTGGAGAAGACGGAGCGTATTGTTGTGTGTCCCATCGATCTTCCCACGCGTCTTATCTGGTCCTCAGCAGAAGTTTTGTGCATAGTTTTCGTCCATCATGTGAAAGTGACAGTCGCTGATAAAATCGCACATGACGGGCCGGCTGAAGCTGAATCACACCGTCGCCTCGTATCACCTCCTCGGGACACTTGGAGGTTATCAGGCTACGACACTCGGCTCGGTGATAAATCACTGCCCACAGCAGCCGGTGGAATAACGACCGAAAGTGAAATGTGAGGACGGGGGAGGTTTGCTCAGACAGGGGGCAG